TGGTTGTAAACTGTTGGGACAAAAGCAAAGAGGAGACCTGCGCATGCACACGTACACTGCAGCGTAGCTGATGTGGGAACAAAACAAGGCGATCACAATTAGCAGCTCCTGGGAATCCTGGAGACAAAATCAGTACCTGACCCACCATCAAACCTGCAGTTCCTCTGACGTCCAGCGGGGGTCAATCCGCTCACACTACAGCAGTAATAAACATGTTTACTGTATAAAGACGTGAAGTTTGCATTATTGGGGGCGTGTCCTGATTGACTGACAGGTGGATGGTGACACAGGCAGCTGTAGCGGCCATCTTCACCTGAACATTTTTAATGACTGTAGTAACAGAGCTGAAGGCTGTTATTTAGCATTAAATACCAATTTATAGATACGGTTGTGTCTGTTTGCCTCCAAGCAGGGTTTTCAGCCTACGCACACACGCTGTAATGCAGTCTCTAGAATCACAGCTGCTCTCACTTCTGTACAATCAGACTCAGAGGAGTCGCCCCCTGCTGGACACCAGAGAGCGCACAGGGTTAGCTTTGTCGAATTTTCATAAATCACTCCGTGTGGGCTCTAACACTTTGTTATGAAGGTGTTAGTGTTGATCAGTGCAGCTTTAGGCTGTTTGAAAACGCATCGTTTTCTCTCCGTTTGGCCTCCCGTCCTCACTGAGGCTGCGTTTCCCCAAGGAAAACGCAGCGTTTTGAAAATGCTCAGAAAACGAATACATCTGAAGACAGTGCTTTCCTGTCGCAGTGTGGACAGTGAAAACGGAGACTTTCTAAAACGATGACGCATGTTTGTCATGTGATGCAGTCATGTGACCAATTAAACTAAGATAGTGGAGGGTATTACACAGCAGTTGTTTTGTTTGACAGCCGTATTAAAGATTAATATAGAATAGAATAGAATAGCCTTTATTGTCATTGTACAGAGTACAACGAAATTGGAGTGGCACTCCCTTGGTGCAAGATAAATAATAAATATAAATGTAAAATATAAAAAGTACAATAAAATAATCGCAAGTACTCAAACAATAGTAAGTACGATATATACAGGATAGCAGCATTAATATAATGACAGTATGAATAGCAGCATTAATATAATGACAGTGACGGTATGGAATAGGTTCAGTTGTTTTTGTGCTTATTTACTACGGTGATAGCTCTGGGAAAGAAGCTATCCCTGAATCTGTTTGTCCTGGTTTTATGTGACCTGTACCGTCAGCCTGACGGTAATAGTTCAAACAGTTGGTTGCTGGGGTGAGAGTGGTCCTTGATGATATTGCCAGCTCTGCTGAGGTACCGAGAGTTTGCAGTGACCTCCAGGCTGGGCAGAGAGCAGCCAGTGATCTTCTGGGCTGTGTTGATGACCCTCTGCAGTACTGTCCTGTACATGCTCCAGAGAGTTTTTCTTCAAATTATTTAATTCTCACTCACATTTGCAACTTTGTACTTTTGTGTTACTTGCAACAAAAACTCCACCTCATTGTTAGTCCATTTAAAAAACTCGCTGCTTTTCCTCGACATTTTGCCGGAAAGTAAATAACGCATGCGGAGAACTGGAACGTAAGCGTTTTCAGACGTTTCAATGTGGACGCACAACTAGTGTGGACGCGGAGCGTTTTCAGACGAAAACGCCGTTTTCAAATCTATCCGGGCCAGTGTGAACGTAGTCATTGGCTGTATCCCAACTCAGGGTCTGCAGCCTTAAAGGCCGCATTTTAAGGCCGATTACGTCACAGCGACGCGACGAAGGCTGTCCCAATTCGAAGGCTGCTCGAAATGCAGCCCTCAAATGCGTCCTTCATTTCCCTGAATTTTAAGGACATGGCGGTGTAGACTTCGTGGCCCAATATATCCCAGAATGCATAGCGCGGCGGTGGGTGTGGATAATTTTGCCGAAAAAAAACGGCAGATGAGGGGCGCCCGAAGAGTAAACTTTAAGTACTGAATATTATGTCACTTATTTATGTGCAAATGTTTAATAACGAAGAACATTAAACATTACTGTTGGCCACATGTCGGCAAAGTCATGTGACATTAGTGACGTTTGTACTAACTTGGTTTTAAAGCCTTTACTTTAAAATATACGCCGTTCAATAGCTGAGCTTAATCTCACAGAGAATGATCAAAGCTCATGTAGAAACAAACAAACAGATGAACAAAAGATTTTCTCCTTCATTTCTGTCAAACACAGCTGTATGACACGTTTCCAGCTGTTAGTATCATGGTTGCTAGGCAACCTGGGCAGCGCAACGGAGGCTACACCGTCCCATTTCACAAGCCTCGCACTTCCGGCCTTAGCGGTCTTTGAGTACGCGGCCCTTGAGGATGGTTAAGACTGCGTACTTTAAGGCTGCAGACCCTGAATTGGGATACAGCCTTAATATGCAGCCTGAAGGTGTCCTCAGCAGGTGTGTTAGCGAGGCGCTCACAGGTGCAGCGTGCGTGTTAACGGGATGAGTCAGAACCGTGTTTGGCCCAGTCCCCGCTCTGAAGCAGGCGTGTCTCGCCGCTGCCCTACTTTCCTCTCAAAAAGGTCATCACAACATCCCCATCCTTTAACAAACGCTGTTGCTAGGAGCTTTTAATGAGAGCGAGGCTGAGAGGGGTTTGTTGTTTGTTTCTGTCCACCATATGGCTGCATGTTAGACGAGCTTCACATCAGATCAGGCCTCACGAGGCTCCAAAGTCCAGGACACAAGAAATCACTTTCTGATGCTGTTCATGGTGGTCAGAGAGAAACCACAACACTGACTCCCTATGGGCACCAGCTGGCAACAGTGGGGAGGAAGAACAGTCCTTTGTCTGTGAAGGTTCTCAGTCATCCAGGTCATCGTAGTCTAAGGAGCTTGCAAAGAAAAGCGTCTGGACTTCTTTAAGTTGCTTGAAGACGTTTCACCTCTCATCCGAGAAGCTTCTTCAGTTCTAAGGTCAAATGGTGGGGAGTCCCAGATTTAAACCTAGTGGGAGCGTCCCCCCACAGAGTGACAAAAGGACCCCCTGATGATCCTCTAATCATCTGGGCCAAGGTGTGAAACTGTGTCTTCAAGCAACTTAAAGAAGTCCAGACGCTTTTCTTTGCAAGCTCCTTTGACGACAAGAACAGTCCTACTCTTTCGAGATGTCCCTACATGTGCCACGACTGTCCTCTTTTGCTCGTCTCATCTCTTTTTTCATCTCCTCTGAAGAAGAATCTGCTCTCCTCTTTTCCTTCCCTCCCTCCATTCTTCCTTTCTCACTTCCTTCCTTCGTTCCACCCACACCTAACCATCCACAGACAGACATGAAGCTGTGTTAAAGCTGCGTGAATAAAGTGACAGAAGGGTGTTCAGGGTTTAGGTCTGGGCTCTGAAGCTGCAGCCTGGTTGGAGCAGGGACCTGTGTGAGGGGTCTGCAGGTCTGAGCGGAGCAATCGTGTTCTTCAAACCTGAACCAATCAGTGCGGAGCCCTGAGCGACCCTGCTTCTCCAAACACCTCACCGTCACATATATCACTGAAGCTCATTACGTGTTTGCAGGTTTGAGTCCGGAGACGTTTCCCTCACTGAAACGTTTCATCTGACATTTTTAATGTCTTAAACTCTCTCTGCTTCCTCATTTCCTTCCTCCCTCCCTCATCTTGTCTCCTCCTTGGGTTGCGTTTGTTTTTCCCTGTCTGAAGCACGCCAGGTTCCACGTGACTGAGCCACAGAGGGGCGGGGAGGAGGGGGAGAAGAGCGGGACACGGCGGGCTCTCATTGGACAAAAGTAGGTCAAGCCGGCCCACTCACGTGACCCAGCATACCTCTGCAGGCTGTGTGTGTGTGTGTGTGTGTGTGTGTGTGTGTGTGTGTGTGTGTGTGTGTGTGTGTGTGTGAATTTTAAAGGAAGCAGATTTCACAAGAATAAAAAGGCCTGAATGAAGGTTTCAGAGATAAAATGTCAGCACGTCTGCAGATCACGAAGGTTTAACTGCTGAGAGCAGAGAGAAGTTTAAACTCCACGAGAGACAAAAACACTTTCAGGGTTTGGTTGTTCCTGGAAGTTTCTGGATGTTTAGTCTGCAGATCAGAAACAACCAGACGCAGCTTGCTCAGAATGAGCGTTAATGGAAAGAAACAGACAGAAATGCTGCCCACATGAGCGCGACTCAGGGATGATACGGAACAGGAAGTAAAATGAAGCAGGAAACACTGAACAAAACAAGAACTGAACCGATAAACATCCAAGAATCAACACTGATCGCACACACACTACACACTGGAATATTCTCCCATGTTGCTTGTCTGTGTTGTATTCTGTTACGTGTGATGATATCTGTGCATTCCTGGATTATCCTTTGTGTTACACTTTTTGATGGGTTTTTTCCTCGCTACCTAGCCTGACCTGTCTCCCCAATGTGATGTTTGTGTATTGTATGTACGGTTGGCAAGGTCTGTCATCTCGGGTGTGGGCAACTGCAACTGACAAATAAAAGCTCTCTCTCATCTCATCTTCGCCATTCGGCGTCGTTGCGGGCTGCGTCCACCTGACCCGTAGCTACGATGTGAATTTCATGTGACGTGGAAGCGTTAGGAGCGGTTTGTGGTTAGGTCAGAAGTTTAAACGTAGATTTCCCGCTGAGGCATAACTCAGGCGGTCGGCTGGATGTCGCCGTGCTGTCGGCGACCGCAAAATAAGAGGAAAACTATTACATCAGCAGCATTACAGGTTTCACCTCTCTTAAACCTACAGGGCGCCTTGTAGTTCACTGAGGGTGAACTCACTGTAGGACAGTGAGCTGCTTTCAGCCTAAGTCCTCAGGTGAACCTCAGCTCCGACCACGCCCTCTTTTTTCACCTTCAGAGCAAAAACTTTCCACAGGTTTCAGAAAATCACAGAGATTTTTCACTTCACTTCCAACAGGGAAAACACTCTCACCATGAAGCTGTCGCTGCGCAGGAAGCATGCGCAGTACGCTCAGCAAAGGTGTGTGTGTGAGAGAGAGAGAGAGCGGGGCGGGGTTATGGCTCCAGCTCTGACGTCAGCAGTCCTCCGTTCTCACACATGGACTCGGTGCTCGGTCCGCAGCCCGGTCAGGCACCGCCGCACGCGCACGCAGCAGGTCGTGTGTGCTGAGAGCAGCAACTTTTATTTTGAAAGGATTCCTTTCCGCGTGGACGTGAGGCCACAACGCGAGGACAGCGCTCAGCTTACCGTGTCACACCTGCGGCTCTGCTCGGCTCGTTTCCCAGACTGAAGTCCCGATGCAAGGAGGCGTGATGGAGAAGATTTCCCGACACCCCGGCCCGCTCACCCCGCTCAGCCCGGGCTTCCTGCCCATGGCCACGCACGGAGTGCTCAAGTCGCTGCTGGAGAACCCAGTGAAGCTGCCGCTGCAGCACGAAGGTGAAGTGTGTGTGTGTGTGTGTGTGTGTGTGTGTGTGTGTGTGTGTGTGTGTGTGTGTGTGTGTGTGTGTGTGTGTCTGTCACATTTAAACTGTGCGTCAGCAGCAAAGTTTCCACAGCAGGAGAAGAAAGAAGAGTCAGTGTTTGCCGAGGTCACACGCGCACCGTGACAAACAAGCACCTGCAAACACACCTCTGCCTGTGTGTGGGGCAATAATTTAGTTTGAGGTGTGTGTCAGACTCGCTTCTCACGCAGAGCAGTTCGCAAACACGGAGGTCACAAGTGCAAATTCCCCGCGAGGAACCGGGGACGATTCTGCCAACCAGACTCTGTGTCATTTTTGGAGGATTTCAGGAAAGCGGCCCCGTGCTGCGCCCAGCTGTGAACTTCTGTTTTTCATGTTGCACAACAAGCGTCTGAATGTTACCCGGCTCGGGCTCATCGTTCATAATTCAAAGAGTGATCGGAAAATATCGATATTCTCCTTCAGATGCTTCTTTTCTGCAGCCAGCTGCCCGAAAGTCAAATATGTGAACGCGCCGTGAGACACGTCTCCTGTCACTGCACACAGGTCCTGTTCCTCTGGCCTGTACGTGATGTTTATAACATGTTTATGAGTTTGTATCGTCAGGTGTAGACGTGAGCTCCGATCAGTGATCATTGTCCTTTAATCGACGTCATGACCTCCAGATTTACCTGACACTTTTGATTCCGATTAGAATCCATGTTGGAAGCGTCCTTTAATATAAAGACACAGAAGAAAATATTCCAGAGCTCAGTTTTCTTGTTTCTTCACATCTCAGATGTTTTATTAAGTTATTACTGAAGCTCAGGTAATGAGTCACCTGTGTGTGCTCGTCCTGATGGACTCTGTTGGGCTTTGTGTGTGTCCGTGATTGGACTTTATCCACCCTCTCGGTTAATAACAAGGACTTTATTGAGAGCGTCGTGCAGCTGCTGGTTCAGGCCGTCAGAGTTCAGAGTATTTGGGGGTGTTTGGTTTCTTGTGGTCACGCTGAACCATCCTGACCTTGGCGGTCTGAGCCTGCTAAACAAGTTTTTGCTCTGGAGACGTGTCAGGCTGCGAGGGCGATGAAGTAAGTACAGCTTCCCCGTCATTATATCTGCATCACCTTTTCCTGTTTGGAGGTTTTTTAAATGATGACCTGAAACACCATGAACGATGACTCAGATTTCTACTTTTTGTTGAAGTTCACATGAAAAAAAGTTTAGCTTTAGTTTTTCAAGCTCTCAGAGGTCTTTGAGGGATGTTTGGGTAAATCTCAGGTGTTCATGCCAGAGCTGTGCAGTCATTTTGCTTCAGTTTATCCCCTCGAAACACTTTCTTTGTTCAGATGCCTAAAAACACGTAATCGTTTTTCCATGTTGTGTTATGCTGAGTTAACCTGATGCACAGTTAGCGGTAACTCTCACTTGTGACTTCAGTGAGTGCAACTTTAGTAAAATTGGTTCCACACCAGCCTCTGAAGAGCAGGGTGCTGATGCCAGGGTGGTGGACGGGTCAACAAAGCTCTGTGATATTTGATAACGACTTCCTTGTAATCAGACAAAGCAGTTCTTATGTTCAAACCTGACCAAACCTTCACCATCGTTTGTGGTAAATAAGACGAGAGTCATGTTAGCAGCAGGAAAACATCCTGAAGCGGGAGATTAGAAAACGTTCAGGTACAATCTGCTGCGGTCGAGCTGAAAGAAGAGTCAGAGTTCAGCTTCCTGTCATAGCAAACATCCTAAAATGAATTCAGATGTGTTTGACGGTTCTCAGTCATTTCATCAATACCAGAAAGCTTTAAAGGTGGAACACCAAGCAGCAGCTACCAGCTCACAGAGATTAACCCAAAATATCTTTTTATAGCTCCAGAGACCACCTTCACAGAGTGACTAATGCTGAGAGCAGCAGTTGCTCTTCGTATTTATAGCCTCGATCTGATCCTCGTTTCTTTGTATTTCACAGAATATGAGGAGCAGGTTTACTGAAATACAGCACTGAAGCACAGTTTGTTGAACATTAGAAAGCTTGAGCACATTTATCCTTCAGTCTCTGAGCAGCTCTCTGTCATCTCTGTGAGGATCTCCAGGTTCTCCTTTGGATCTTCTTCTGAGCAGTCGTCTGTGAGATGATCCCACAGTTCTCTCCTGGTGCTTTTTTTAGTGCAGACCTTTGCTCTGTACCGTAAACCTCTAAAAGTTGGTCACTGTCACTGATTCACTCTCTCCATGTTCTTGTGCAGCTTTCAGCAAAGAGCACGAGAAGGAGAAAAACCTAGAAGAAGAGCGCAGCGCCCCCCAGTCGGCCTTCCTGGGCCCCACGCTGTGGGACAAAACCCTCCCCTACGATGGAGACACCTTTCAGCTGGAGTACATGGACCTGGAGGAGTTTCTGTCTGAGAACGGGATCCCTTCCAGCCCCTCCCATCACCACCACGACCACCACCCACCACACGCTCCACCACGCCAGCCGCCAATCATGACACCAGCCCCTCCCACGCCAGCACCTTCAGTGATTGACCTTAGCAACCACGCCTCCGCCTCTGTGCACACGACTGTCGTCTCCCCGAACTGCCTGCACGGCAGCCCGGCAGCAGCAGGTAACAACAGCACACCTGGTTTCATTAACTTTATGACTTTGTTTTTAACACATGCAGCTGTTCAAATGAATCACTGTGGTTATTACCAGAGTATTACCTGGTGCAGGTACAGCACAGTGTCATCAGCATAGCAGTGAATTATGGGAATTTAAACCAGGAATAATGCAGAGCCCAGTATGGATCCTTGAAGCACTCTAAAAAGGATATATTTATATATATATTGTGGATATGCAGCCGGGGATGAATAAAGTATCTGTCTGGAGGATAATAAACTGTTTACAAAGACTGAAGAACCATCATGAGGTAAGAACCAGGCCAGTGCTGACGAATCACAGCAGCACATTTACACTCTTCAGATGATCCTCTTATATAAAAGTTTCATCAGCATTAAAGTGCAGTTTCTGGATGTTTTTAGAAGTTTGACCAAGATATGAGATAAGAGATAGTTACCAATCCTGTGACGCCTCTTTGAAGAAGGTCACTAGAAATATCACAGAGAGGAGGAACATCAACACGTAGAAGTGACCACATGATCCCGAACAGGCTGAGATGGTGAAAACAGTCAAACTCAGAGGTGCTTCCTCCCTCAGCAGCAGAACAAAGACCCACCGTCACTGAGCCGTCTCGCACTGAAAACAAATCAGAGGCGTTTGTCCCTTTGAGACGGCAGACGCCCTCGACCGTGGGGCGGGGTCGCTGTTTGTTGAGGAAATGAAATGAATGAGCTTAAAGTAGACCAGCTTGTGCTGGTGATGCTCTCTTCTTCTTCTTCTTTGATTTTGGAACTAAAACATCTTACAACCCTTCGTCTTTAAAGTCATTTAAAATGATTGAAAATCCTCCAGTGGATGTTTTGTGTGCTCCGCTCGGGCCAGAGAACGTCACGTGACGCTGAGCGTAAAAGTTGGATTACAATCTGAAGCTTGTGGAGGAGAAACATCGCTGACATTTAGGCCGAGCTGAGATTTGCATGAAAAAAACTTTGTAAGAATAAAGTTCCCAGATTCAAAACATAAATGTTGTTTGTTTGAGGTTTTAACCAAAGAACCCATCAGCGTCGAGCTTTGGATGCTTTGAAAGCACAAAAACTCTCCCAGCAGCATCAACATTACTGAGTTTGATTAGAACTGCAGCTCAATGAAAACAAACCTGTGTGTGTGTGTGTGTATGTGTGTGTGTGTGTGTGTGTGTATGTGTGTGTGTGTGTGTGTGTGTGTGTGCATGTGTGTGTGTGTGCGTGCGTGTGTGTGTGCGTGTGTGTGTGCATGTGTGTGTGCATGTGTGTGTGTGTGCGTGTGTGTGTGAGGATTATTAGTGGATGTGAATGTAAACACATGTTTGGAAGTGGGAGTCGCCCAGCCTGCTTCTGCTGCTGGGAACAGTATGTACTTGAACCAGTGATCTCATTTCATGTCCACCACACACACACACACTCGTGCACACACACACACACACACACACTCGCGCACACAGACACGCGGGGTCACATGTCTGTGCTGT